CTGACACTGCAGATAATTGGAACCAAAGTTAGATTCAATGACTAGAAAAAAAAATACTTTTACAGTGTTCAAAAAAGCTAAAAGCTGCTAAGCAGGAATGAGTTAGGATTTTTTGTTTACATACATCATATGTAACAAAAAATATTTTTCTACTGTGACTAATTAAGCTTCTATTTTTAAAAAAAAAATGTTATTTTAGAACTTGAAGGTTTGTATTGTAATAAATTCAAAATTTTATGAAAGATACTGTACACATTTTTTTTTCTTCAAGTTAACTTTCATACTATTTATGGTTGCAAGAAAGTTTGCAACAACGATTAAAATTTACTGAAACGAAATTCAAAGGCTTTATGTTGTAGGCAGTTATAAGGAAACAAAGTAAAGCTCTGCTCTATGGGGAAAATCTTATACTGAACGTACTGAATTATCAAAAATTCCATCTCATGTTACATTTTAATCTTGATATTTTGAATTATGAGTGTGTTTTGGTTTTAGCCTCTCAATATCGTTGCTGCAAGATTTACATGGAATGGTCTGTCTAAAGCCAAGGGATCCTTCTTTGTTGGTGTTAGTCCGGAGTTTGACATCGCCATCTACACCGCATGCGCACTGACCCGGCCAAATGCGAGCTGCTCCTTCACAATGGCGGGAAATTCACTTCAAATCCAGACTTACGACGTAGCACACAAGACTGGATTGCAAGTGGCGACAGCTTATCCAAACATTTAAACGATTTGTTTTAAAGATAATTTTGTGTCTGATTAAATATTTTTTCAAGGAATTTGATATATTTAACAAAAAGTTCAGTCACAAAGTGCAAACTCAAAGAAAAATGAAATTAAGCTTTATTCATAAAATCCTTACAAACAAAGACACATGGGTCCCAATAAATGTTCAACAAAGCCTCTTACTTTACTCCTCACTAAGATATTAACAGAAGTGAAAAAATATTTCAAGGGTAGTATGCAACAATATATTCGAGAAGTGGGATAAATTAGAATTTAAAAATTCTTTTGGAACATTTGAAATCTCAAGATTTTGCGTAAATCAATAGCTTATAAATACTTACGACTCTAGAACTTTATACACAACCAATCCCCACGATAAAGTAAAGTCTAGGTTTTTAATATAACCGACAGCTGATTTTTCAATAAAAATTGAACTCAAATATTTACCTACCTTGTCATTAATTGGTCATTTGCAAAATTATTTTGTTAAAACACTTACTGATTGCACGCACAAGTACTCTGAAGTTGACATAAAAAAGAAGCTTAAGTTTCTGATTGACAATATTTATGTGGTTTTTGGAGTCCAGGTATTCAAACAATCCATTTGAATTCCTATTGGTATGAAATACGCCTCATTATTACCAGACCTAAAGATTTTTATTCAAATGAAGCAGAATTTAATCAAAATCATGTGCATGAAAAGAAGAATACACTTGCTGTGGCCTTCAACGCACATTTATATATGTCGACGACGTATTGTCGAGTAACAATGTATTTTTCCATTCTTATGTCGATATGATATATCTCGGTGAGCTCGAGATAAACGATACCAAAGAGTCTGACACACCTGTTTCATATTTTGAATAATTTTCATGAACTTGAAAAAGACGTTCATGGTAATCTAACAACCAAGCTCTAAGATAAAATTGATGACTTTAACTTTTCAATCGTCAATTTCCCTTACTTCTGCAGCAATATACCTTCATCAACTGCATCTTGAGTTTATGTATCTCAATTCGATACGCAGGAGATTGCTCTATGTATGTACAATTTCTAAAACAAGGTAAATTAATGACAAACAAGTTGATGATACTAAAATATTATCGATCTCGTTTAAAGTCATAATTTAGTAAGCTCTATGGTCGATACAATGACCTTGTCAGCAAATGCAATTTATCAGTGAGTTAAATGCTGACTGACGTTTTTCATACTAATTGTTAGTCCATTATTTACACACTAAATTGACGATGGATTTTCCGTTATTTCCCGACCATGACAAGGCGGATGTGACCGGTTGGCATGGGATGCCCACTCATCCATGGCATCAGATCCCACTTCTCCAATATACTGAAATGTAAAATGTTGATAACGAACACTTTTTGAGCTAAAAAGTCCATTTAACAACACAAGATAGGAGCGGAGCCGACACGGACCTCCAAAACATCAGAGGTGGGATCAGGTGCAAAGTTGGAGTGAGTATCCCCTGCCGATCGGTAACACCCGTCGTGTGTTCCTTATCACAATTGGGACATAAAAAATCCGTCGTCAACTCAGCGTATAAATTAATGCCTGACAATAAGAATTGAAAAAGTCAGTCTGCATTTGACGCAATGATAAATTGTATTTGCTGATAAGGTCACTGTATACATTCCAAAATGATGAATTTAAACGAGTCTGCTACTATACTTGTTTCATCGATTTGTTTGTTAATAATTTACCTCGCTTCCGAAATTGTACCTACACAGAACATGCTCTTGCATATCTAATCAACTGAGGTACTGTATACAGGGAAATTTTCGCCCCCGTTTTATTTTCGCCCCTTTCGCCCTACCCTCATTTGGTCGAATTTAAAACGAGGCGAATTCAATGAATACAGTATAATTTCTTAAACAAAACTTTGACAGGGTGAATTTAGAGTGGGCGAAATTTTTCGCAAGTGTGAAAGAGCGAAAATAACACGGGGCAAAAATAACCCTGTATACAGTATATAAACCCCGTACGTTGGTGTGTTGCTACAGAAGTAAGTGAAGTTGATAATTCAAAACTTAAGTTAATGTCATAAATTCATCATAAAGCTTATTTGTTAGATTACCATAAACGTCGTTTTCAAGTAAAATTTCCAAATATGAAACAGATGTGTCAGACTCTGTGGTATCTTTTATCTCAAGCTCACCGGGATTAGATTTATTGATTGTATAGTGTGTATTACTCCCTTTCAAGAATTTTTCATCCATTACCTAATGCGATATGGGACCTCTTTTTATATGTTCTCATCGAAAGGACCGTCGATCTCCACGTCCCAAAGTTGGATTCTAACCCGCGACGCAAAGATCTTACTTCTCGACTCTAAAGCAAACGCTCAAACCACTGCGACACAAGGACAACCTCACCGGGATATATCTCATCGATATAAGAATGAAAATAAACATCGTTAATTTAATTGACAATTACAGGTGATGAAAGTATATTGCTGCATAATTAAGAAAAGTTGACGATTAAAAAGTAATAGTAATCACGTTTATCATAGAGCTTGGTTGTAATATTGCCATATTTCAAGTAAAATATTTAAAATATGAAAGAGATTTGTCTGACTCTGTGGTATCTTTTCTTTTAAGCTCATAGGGATATGACATAATTATAATAATAACCATTGACAATAAGTCGTCAATATATACAAATTTTGAGTTGAAGGCCATAGCAAGTAATTTTGTCTTTCCAAGTATAAGATTTTGGACAAATTTTGCTTCATATGATCTGAAATTAGATAAACGACAAATCAGGTACATTTATTGCTAATATAATAGAATAATTTTTAATCTAAGTTACCTGCATGTTCTGTCACAACCCAGCTTATCTGTTTGTGATTAAGTAGATTGCAAAAGAAAACACAACGAATTTATTTTCTAAAAAAGCGCATATTTGGATACGTTTTCTGCCTCTGTTACAATGATGATTGGGTTCTCTTTGCCAGATTTTCTTTACTTTAATTTACTATAGTAATCTTGGGATATTAAATTATCTTGAGTTCACCATTCTTTTTGAAAGTTTGGCATCAGTTATCTACTGCGACGCCGGTTTACAAGCTCTTGACTGAAGAAGCGGTATCTTGGTCCTGTAGTGTAATTCAGGAAATTCTTAATTCGCAGCTCCAAAATAAAGCTGAAGCGTTCTTTGACAATTGCATCCAGAGGGCGATATCTTGCAACCGAGTAACACTTTTGATGAATACAATGTATGTGCCATGACGTAATAGTTGGTGATGATGGCACAAGAGAGTGTCCAAACGTGTTCAAAGCACACTGAAATCATCGATATAGTTTGTGAGGATTGTGATAAATTTCTCTGTTCTCAATGTGTAAAAAATGATCATGGATATCATAAATGGGTTTCTCTTTTTCGGGCCTCTGCAGAAAGAAGAAACGAAATTTCTCGAATCCTGGGGTACATCAAGAAGGAAAAGCTTCCATGCATTGATGATAAATTAGAGAAGACATCACAGCAGATAGAGGAGAACAAAAATCAATATGAGACGCAAATAAAGGAGCTTTGGGAGCATAATCATGATATCGTAGCCAGATTGTCAGAAATTATAAAACACCATGAGAAAAATATGAAAGACAATCTAACAAAAAAGAATCAACAGGCAAACGTTTTTAAAACTCGTTTATTGGAGAAAAGAAAGCTTCTTGCTGACAAAGTAAATTTCCTAGAAGAAAACAGCACATTGTGTGATTATAGTTTGGTGAACCATCACAGAGAACTGAAACAGATACTGTCTGACACAGAATTTGATATAACAAACAGACAACTATCAATTCGATACAAACCAGGGAAAGTAAATCATGAATATCTAGAACAAATGACTGGCCAAACTTTGAATTTAGAGAACATAAATGCAACAAAATCCGGTGAATTTAAATATGAACGTGATGGAATCTCTGTTCTTGAGTCATTGAATACCGACAAATGCTACATGAAAGCATGTAATTCCGACTATGTAGAACAAGTGGACAAAAGAGGCGATAAGAAGCAGAAGTTCAACATAGTTCCTAATGATATGTGTGTTAATTTGCTGACGACGGCCATGTTTATTTCACTGACAAAGGTAGTAACTCCATCGGCTGTTTCTCTTCTTCAGGATCTCGGTCGACAGTCTTCAGTACTCATCCTCTAGTGCCATTAGGTATCGGTCACTCTCGAGACGGGCGTGGTGGTCTTCTGGTCACTCTGAGTGAGGAGTTTAATAGAAATAAATCTGATCGGTTTTATTTGAATTCGAAAAGCAGACGTCTGCTTAAACGTGTGTCGTTTACGGGTGACTTCATCCAAGAGATATAATATCAGGAGGACGGACAGACTAGGCTTTATACGTGGTCGCGGAGAGTCACGCAAAACAGGTACGCTGAAACATGCGTTGTAAACCAGAAGAGTTTGACCTCAGCTGAATTAGTGATATTGTCTGCTAAGGGTAAGATAAAATCTGTCTACGAAGGATGGATCGAAAACTTTACACCGTATGATGTCGTATATGACTCTTGTTGTAACATCCTTACTACTGACAAAAGTAACTCTGTCTGTTGTGTTCATGTGTTAAGTCGACAAGGGGAATTCTTAAGGTACTTACTGACAGAGAGAGAATTGAATGCCCCAATGTCTTTATCTCTTTTTAAGTCAACACTTTGGCTTGGAGAAAGTAATGGAGTTTTAAAAGTCCCAGGTAGCACTACAATGTTATTAAAACGTTTTCAAAACAATGTTATTTTGTATGGTTTGTTAAACGTTATCCTAACGTTCTTCAAAAACATTGTCATGCAATGTTTTGAAAACATTTTGAAAACCTTTTCAAAAATTTTTAGCAACGTTTTCAGGATATTTCTAACATGTTTAAAGGATAAAAAAAAAATCTACAACAGAAAATTATTTTACTTCCTATAGTTTTATTTTGTTTAAACTATTTCACGAATGTATCCACACGGTCAATAACAGTCTTCTTAACAGAGAAGAATTGTGGTTTAAACTATTTCACAAATGTAATCCATGAAGTTCCACACAGTCAATAACAGTCTTCTTAACAGAGAAGATTTGACACAATTGAAATTAGAAAAAAAATTACAATATCCCTCTTCCTTTGAAAATCCTCTGTTTGGCACTTGGACTTCTTTGTTTGCTTCTGAAAAACAAAGATATAAAGGATAACTTCAGAAGGTTTAAAAACTATTAATTATCATAAATCCGAAAAATGCAAGGAAAGCGTGTGTTTTTGGCAACAGTTCTATAAAATATATACTAATAGGGATATGGAGATAACGAACAGTATTCAAATAAATCTATCTCCGTAATGCATTGTTGTCTGGAACATTCAAACATACCTAAAAGAATTTTTTATACATTTTTTCACGAAGTGATTTTTTAAGGAATCAATGTGGCATATAACATGTATAAAACAATAACAAAAGAACAGAATAAAAAAACAACACATTTTTGTTTAAATTCATTTTTATTTAATATGCTTTAAAAGATATCACCCTGTAATTAATAACAAACAATCAAAAGAGTAAATGCTTAATGTATATTTTTTAAGAATTGAAATATAGAAATGTTTGTAGTTTCTATAACGTTTTAATAACGTTTTCCAAACATTTTAAGACAATGTTATATTCATGTTTTCTGGTATCATTTGTAATCAGAATTTATGATAAATTTCATTCAATTTAAAAATAAATATGCTTAATATTTGAGTCAACGTACACAACACACTGTTTATACTCTTAATATCATATCAAGAATTTTTAGAATAGTTTTTCCCAAACAATGGAATGTGAAAACATTTTTATATAATGCTTTTTAAGCAATAAAAAATGATTCTTATAATCATTATAAAAATGATATGGAAAAATGTTTTCTAAAAACTTCCTTCCAACCAGTATTAAACTTTATTAAAAACATTTTAAAAATGTTTTTGAGAAACGTTTTCTAAAAACGTCATTATAACCTAGATAAACGTTATAAAAACATTTTTAAAACATTATGTCAAAAGCGTTTTGGAATAACAATAATATGGAATATAATATGTTATGAAAACGTTTTGTGCTACATGGGGTATTTAATTATGAGAGTGTGTCGTGGTCGTCCGACCTGTAAACGGAATGATTGGATGTTTTAAACAATATATTTCTTCATTGATGTTCACATTTTTCAGTGTTATACCACTCTATGTTTTCTGCCTCAAAGTATAAATTCTATGTCATAGTCATGCGAAATTTCAAAATAATGTCACATATGTTGTATGGTGAGGAGGAATAAGTGAACAATCATTGAAAATTCATAAATACATATATAATGAAAATATATGACCGTTATTTTGGCCCCCATATTACATCTAGCAGCTGCCAGAAAAAATATTTTTCCAACTGACACTTACCGGCTTCCGTAAGAAGATGATTGAATTTTGTGCATTTTTATTTCGATGCCTTATCAGGTTTGGGGAATTTAAAGTTAGGTCCCTCATATAAGTTTACAGAAGACTTGGATTGATTTACAAGCCCGAAACATGTTGAGACGCCATTAGACCAACAACTATTTTCTGACTATTGTGGTTTGCAGGCAGGCGAATTCCTAAATTCTGGAATCGTAATGGCACAGGATTGTGTACAAACGTGTGTAAAGCACAATGCAATCATTGATGTGTTTTGTGAGGATTGTGATCTATGTCTTTGTTCTGACTGTACAAGGTGTGACCACGGATCTCATAATTGGGTCACACTAGTTCGAGCTTCAACAGAAAAGAGAAAAGAACTCTCTCAAATTCTTAATTATGTCAAAAATGAAAAACTGCCTGACATCGATAAGCACATTGAGAAAACATCGAAACGGATTGAGGAAATTGAAAACCAATGTGAGTCGGAAATAAACAATCTAAGGATGCATAATAATGAGATCATAACTAAATTATCAGAAATTATGATCTATCGGGAGAAAAAAATAAGAGAAAACCAAAAGAAAAAGAATGAAGAGATTGAGATTTTGAAATCAAATTTACTAGAGAAACGAAAAATCCTTGCTGAGAAAGTTGAGTTCCTAGAAGAATATAGCACTACGTCGGAGCTTAGTTTGGTAAATCACCACAGAGAGCTAAGAAAAATGCTATCAGAAACGGACATTGATGAAAGAAACATACACCTTTCAGTGAGATACAGAAAGGGGAAAATCATAAATGAGGAACTGGAACAAATGATTGGACAAACTATAAATTTAGATGATATAGGTGCAGAAAAATCTTGTGAATTTCAACATGGATGTAATGGAATCTCAATTCTAGAGGCTCTGAACACAGACGAATGCTTCTTAAAAAATATCAAATCCAGTTACGTTGAACAAGTTGACAAAAATGGCGAAGAAAAACAGAAATTTAACATAGATCCCGATGATGTATGTGTCGCGGACGACGGTCGTGCATATATCACTGATGCCAGCAGTAACTGCATAAGCTGTATCTCCTCCTCAGGATCTCGTTCGACAGTCTTCAGTGCGCATCCTCTGGTACCAGTAGGAATTTGTAAATCTCGTGATGGACGTAGTGGACTTTTGATTACCTTGAGAGAAGAGTTTGATAACAGTGAATCTGATAAGTTTCTTTTAAATTCACAGAGTAGACGTTTGCTTAGGCATATGTCGATAATGGGGGATCTCAACCATGAAATAGAATTTGAGAAGGACAGCGAGTACAGGCTATTTACATACCCATGGAGAGTCACGCAAAACAGGTACGCTGAAATTTGCGTTGTAAACCAGAAGAGTTCCACCTCAGGTGAACTAGTGATTTTGTCTCGGAACGGTAGGAAGAAGTCAGTCTATGGAGGGAAGGTGGAAGATTTTACACCGTATGATGTCGTATATGACTCCTGTTGTAACATCCTTGTTACTGACGGAAGTAACCATTGCGTTCATGTGCTGAGTCGTGAAGGAGAATTCTTGAGGTACTTACTGACAGAGAAAGATGTGAATGATCCAATGTCTTTATCTCTATATAAGTCTACTCTTTGGCTTGGAGAAAGTAATGGACTTGTTAAACTATTTAATTATAAGAGTGTGTCTTGGTCATACGAACTGTATAGTACTTGAACTGATTCAAATTTTCTGATTAAACAGATTTTTTCGCTTATTTTTATGAAATGAAATAATTATGAAAAATTAGATATGTCTATGTATTATTGTAATATCATACATAACATCACATTAAAAACACAAGGCTCAGGGGCCACATCGCTCACCTGAGAACTGTCGCTAGGAAGAAACTTAGAAAGCAAAAGTCAGTTTAGTATTGACAAATTTAATTGTCCCGACCTGATTTGAAGAAAATTGAATCTACTCAACCTGAAAATAATTCTTTAAATCTTATATTTCCTGGACCATTGGTTTTTGAGAAGAAGATTTTTCAGTGATGCCATTAATTTTTCTCTTGAAATATCTCCTATTGGAGGAGGTAGGGTGTTTTTTAAAGCTGAACACGATTCGTAAAAGAAATGTGTCCGCCATTTTTGTTCCCGAGTCTCGCTGTGATGCTTATCATACGAATAATTTTTGGGTTGAACTAATCAGTACCTGAAAAGGGTTTGTTTACTATTTCCGCCCAGGCGGCACATAATTTTACAGGCATTTTAAT